TTTGCTCCCACAGTCCAAAGATGTGTAGGTTTGTTGGATTAGCCATGGGAAATGCAGGGATAGGGAGATGCGGTGGGTCTGGGTGGAATGTTCTTCGGAGGGTTGGTGTGGACTCGATGGGCCAAACGGTCTGTTTCCTCACTGTAGGGATTCTATTATCCTGATTTGGAAATATATTATCATTTTCAGATGTACCTACGTGCCTCATTTGACAAGCATGTCCTCCTGAAGTCTGTTTCTGTTTTGTTCATGACTAATTTACTATTTTCTGTTGATTAGTTTAAAACACAAACTTTCTGAGTTGAAGCCCCCTAAACTTAAATCCGGGTCATTTTATAATACAAGGAGAGTAATGGTCCTAATATTGACATCCGAGAGATAGATTCAATCCAGATATCATCCATTCACCTGGAATGTCAGCTCCTTGTTTCAACTATCTGTCACTGTTTCACTCTCTCTGGCAGGTCAGTAGATAGAATGGGATCTGTGGACGAGTTAACCTGCTGCTTGTGACAGTTCTGATATTGGTTCCTCTTTCCTCTGAGATTATCTTTCTTCTAGTTCTTGTGGTGAACTTCCTGTGGCCAATTATTTCCTTTTCGTTCAGGTTCATTTGAAGGTCACTTCGGAACAATGTGTGTCAATCCATCTGTAGCTGCAAACGCTCTCCTGCACCTCTAGCTCCAGACTGTGTTAGGTGACCGAGTTTTTCACAACTTGCTTTGTCTTTTTCTCATTTTGTCCCTCCTGCCCAACTTAACAACTCTGAGATAACAAGGCGTAGAGCTGGATGAACACAGCAGGCCAAGCAGCATCAGAGGAGCAGGATGGCTGACGTTTCGGGCCTAGACCTCCTTAACAACTCTGCCCCATGTTTTCCTGCATGGTAAACATATTGTCATTGCTTTCAGTCACAGACTGTTGGATGTGACCTGTTAAGTACCCAAACTTTACATACGGTGTTCTCTTGCTGATGTTTTGTGGTTTCAATTGGCCCGTTGGATACGACGTCTACTGAACTGATACGACCCAACTCCAAATCATTTAACAAGGGCCACCTGACCTGTGAAGGCATTTTTAGATTAAGTACCACCCCAATGGAAGAAAGGTACATATCATGATAAGACTATAAATTGCCTGACCCTCATCGCTTACACAAAATCCCTACAGTGTAGAAGCAGGCCATTTGAATCCACAGCGACCTTTTGAAGAGCATCCCACCCAGACCCACCCATCTATCCTATCTCTGTAACCCTGCATTTCCCACGGCTAACCCACCTAACCTGCACGTTCCTGGACACTCTGGACAATTTAGCATAGCTGATCTTAGGACTGTCGGAGGAAACCAGAGCACTTGGAGAATACACACATGGACATAGGGAGAATGTGTAAACACCACACAGACAATTGTCCAAGGCTGAAATCGAACCTGGATCCCTGATGCAGTAAGGCAGCAGTACAAACTACTGAGACCTACTTATCCCCCAGCGCAAGATGATTTCCCTACATTTGGAGATGTGTATGTGACTTTATTTGCAATATCAAGTTGTAAAACAGAATAAGAAAGTTGTTTCAATCCTGCTGTTGATTTTGCTTAACTCACCCTACGGCCAGGGAAGAATTTTTACCTGTCAAGCTTGAGGAAAGTAAAAAATATGCACTTTTAAAAATTCATTCATGGGATGTGGGCATCGCTGGCTGGGCAAGCATTTATTGCCTGTGTGTAGTTGCCCTTGAGAAGTTGATGGTGTGATGTTTTCTTGAACCAGTGCAGCCCATATGCTGTAGGCAGACCCACAATACTGTGAGAGAAGAGATTCCAGGATTTTGGCCCAGTGACAATGAAAGAATGATGATTTATTTCCAAATCAGGATGATAGAATCCCTGCAGTGTGGAAACAAACCATTCGGCGCATCGGATCCACACCGACCCTCTGAAGAGCAATCTACCCAGACCCACCGCATTTCTGTATCCCTGCATTTCCCATGGCTAATCCACCAAACCTACACATCTTTGGACTGTGGGAGCAAACTGGAACGCACAACAGAAATCCACGCAGACACAGGGAGAGTGCACAAACTCCAAACATATAGTCGCACGAGGGGGGAATCAAACACAGAATTGAATCACTGGCGCTGCGAGGCAACAGTGCTAACCACTGAGCACCATGCCACCCCTGGTGAGCGGCTTGGTGGGGGATTTGCAGGTACTTGTGTTCCCATGTACCTGCTGCTTTTGTCCTTCTAGATAGAAGTGGCCCTGGGTTTGTAAGGTGCTGCCTAAGGATATTTGAAATCTGCAGAATCTACAGTTTGCCATGAGGCTCTCTTTACTTTTACTTCTGGCCAAGTATCCAGATGGGACCTCTTTAGCATCTCAACTGAGAGATATCACCTCCCATTGGGCGGCACACCCTCAGTACTGGACAAGAGGCAGAATTTTATGGTCCCTCACCATCACGTTCCAGGCAAAAGGAAGGTGATGGCCAAGTGATGTTATCACTCAGCTATTGATTCAGCTGGTGTACCAGAGACCCAGGTTCCAATCCTGCTTTGGCAAAAAGAGGAACTTGATATCAATAAAAAATCTGGAATTTTGAGTCTAATCATGTGCGTGGAACTGTCTTTGATTGCCAGGAAAAACCATCTGGTTCACTAATGCCCTTTAGGCAATGATATCTGCATCCTTAGCTGGTCTGGGCTACATGTGACTCCACAGCCATATGATGTACATGAAATAGAACCTCTACAGTGTGGAAGCAGGCCATTCGGCCCATCAAGTCCACGCCAACCGTCTGCAGAGCATCCCACTCGGACCAACCCACCCCCCCCCATCCCCGTAATCCTGCATTTCCCATGGCTAACCCACCTAGCCTGCACATCCCTGGACATTATGAGCAATTTAGCATGGTCAATCCACCTAATCTGCACATCTTTGGTCTGTGGGAGGAAACCATAGCAGCCGGAGGAAACCCACGTAGACACGGGGAGAATGTGCAAACTCCGCACAGACATTTGTCTGAGGCTGGAACCAAACCCAGGTCCCTGGTGCTGTGAGGCAGCAGTGCTAACTACTGAGCCATCATGTGTTTGACTCACAGCTGCTTCAGGTAATTCAGAATGGTTAATAGATGCTGGCCTGGCCATCTCATGAATGAATTTTTAAAAAAAACTTTTAAAATGATATGGTCACATTTCCCGCCCAGCTCAAATTTAAGGTTAGCAGGAGAGGTTCTGAATGGGGAGAGGTAAGCCTGGCAGCTCGTCCTGATTGGCCCTCAGGATGAAGGAGTCTGAGTCTCTCAAAGATCGCCTGTGCACCAGGCTAACTTCTCACAAAATAATTAATCCGTTCACTCAGCTGAAGTAAAGTGTTGATTTTGTCTGATTGACAGCTTCTGAGTTTCTCATAAGTTATACTTTCTGTGATTCCTTTTGTAAATGTCTCAGCTTTAATTTGTACCAGTTGTGCACAGCGATTAGTTAAGGTAAGGGGCAGAAAGTTTAGAGGAGATGTGAGAAAAAGCTTTTTTACCCAGAGGCTGGTGGGAACCTAACATTCACTGTCTGTAAGAGGCGGAAACCCTCATGATGTTTAAGAAGTATTTAGATGTGCATTTGTGATGCCTAGGCATACAAAGCTATGGGCCAAGTGCTGGAAACTTTGATTAGAATAGTGAGCTCATTGTTTTTGATTGATTTGTTGTTGTGGCATGTACCAAAATACAGTGAAAAGTGCTGCTTTGCATACTATACAGGCAGATCGTTCCATACAAAGTGCATCAGGGTAGCAGAATAGAGTGCAGAATACAGTGTTCCAGCCATACAGAAGGTGCAGAAAGAGCGATCAGAATTAACATTTAAGATGTCTGTTCAAGAGTCTGATAACAGTGGAGAAGAAACTGTTCTTGAATCTATTCATGTGAGTATTCAAACTTTTGTATCTTTTTCCTAACAGAAGAAGATGGAAGAGAGTATAACCAGGGTGGTAGGAATCTTTGATTATGTTGGCTGCTTTCCTGAGGCAGGGGGCAGTGTAGACAGAGTCAATGGATTGACTGTTGTGGATGCAATAGGCTGAAGGGCATTTTTCTCTGCTGTAAATCTTTATGACTCTACAGCTTCTGTTATTGATATTTTGAAGATTTGTTTTATTGACACCTCTTTAGAATTGTAGCAATTGCTATTTTTTGAGGCTATGATAAATGGATGTTTTCTAAAGCATACTTTGAAGTGTTTAAAGTGTATTTTACACACATGCCATTGTCACCGTATGGCTCATCGGTTCTTTATGGAGTTTATTCTGAATAAATAGACACGGAAGTGACTCGAGTTGGCATGGTTGGTATGAGGAGCAGTGGAGCAGGATGGGAGGCATGAGGTTGCATGGAGAATAAGGAGCTCCAATGGGATTGGGAGGCAGGGTGATGGTGCATGAGAGATGAGAACTACAGGATCTATAAATGTAAGAAAGACTACTGGTAAAGCTCCCCAGTGAACCAATGTGAGCATTTTAACCAGCCTGCATTACTACCTCTGACCTGCTTCCAAACATAATAGGCCTGAGTCCATGCTACACCTGAATCAATTTAATCACTCAAGCTATTCACCTTTGTCACAAAAATCCCAGCCTGGTTTTTGCACTGCAAAAGATGGTCACATCTTGAATTCTATTTCCTACTGTGTAAAATAAATCCGCTAGTTTCTATTTTTATATTAGTTTGAAGTTTCCTCTTTCTCTCTTGTCTGCTAACACACTTGGTCATTGTGGTTCAAATAGATGGCATTTACACCTCTGAGTTAAAGAGGTTAATATTCCCGTACAATACCGAAGTTTCGCAGTTTGAACTGTTGCCTTTCAGGTAAGGGTTTACTGTACTTGCTTCCCTTGCTAGCCATGATTTAAATTTTGATAAAAATAATTTTTATTCAAAACAATGTTTACAGTTTTTCTTCCTTTTTTTTGTAATATGATGTTCTTTCTTTTTGCTACTTTTTAGGGTATTTTATGATCTGCGTCTAACCTTCCTTCAGATTTCTGTTGAAGATTTCCACAATGGTCTCACTGAACACATGCCTTACAATTTCCTTTGTTTTACTGATAGCATTAAGTGATGGATGCCTGGAATTCCTAGCAAACCTTAGTAAGTATTAAACTTATGCCAGGTATGTTGTATTATAACATACATTTAAGGCCACACTGTATATTGAAGGCAGTCATGTGATATTATGATAAATGATATTCCAGTATACAGGTACTGACTAATTTTCTGAGTAATGAAGTCAGTGTTATGTCGTTAATCAGATCAGTACATATGCATCACCTACAATAATATTAGTAAGCTCAGAGTCCACACCAAAGTCTGATTCTGTCATATCATGGCCTTTTGAATAGTGTTGTGAGTAAACTCCAAGATATCTGACTCCAGAACATATACCACCAAGATATTAGTGGAGTGGGCACACAGGTGGCAGATGGAAGAGAGTATAACCGGGGTGGTAGGAGTCTTTTATTATGTTGGTTGCTTTCGTGAGGCAGGGGACAGTGTAGACAGAGTCAATGGATTGACAGTTGTGGACACAATGGGTTGAAGGGCCTTTTTCTCTGCTGTAGATCTCTATGACTCTACAGCTTCTGTTATTGATATTTTCATGTTCAAAGCAGAAAAATGTGAGGTGATACATTTTGGGAGAAAGGAAATGGAGAGGCAGAACAAAATAAAGGTCACGACCCTAATGGATGTGCAGGAACTGAGAGACACGTGCATAAGACACAAGGGTGGCTGGACAGGCGAAGAGACCAGTTGATAAAGTATGGTACATCCTAAGCTTTATTTATAGAGGATAGAGTGTAGAGCAGGATGGTTATGCTGAAACTTTATTAAACATTATTTAGACCTCTGCTGGAATATTATGTACAGGGGTCTAGGCAGAGCAGATTGGGAGAAATTGTTCCTGCTGATAAACAGATTGTGAATGAGAGGGCATAGATATCAGGTCATTTACAAAAGAAGCAAATGTGATGTCAGACAAATATTTTCCTACGAATCATGGTTTAGGACTGGAATGCAATGTCTGGAACTGTAGTCGACAGATTTAACTGAGGTATTCAAGAGGACGTTATAGATGATTATTTGAATGGAAACAATATTCAGGATTTGGGGAAAAGGCAGGAGAATGGCACTCAGTCAGAATGCTTGTTCAGGGAATCTAAGAATCCATTGAATCCTTACAGTGTGGAAGCAGGTCATTCATCACATTGAGTCCATGCTGACCCTCTGAAGAACATCCCATCCAGACCTAACCCCTAACCTATCCCTGTAACCCTACATTTTCCCATGGCTAGCCCACCTGGCCTGCGCATCCCTGGACACTATGGGCAATTTAGCACAATGAAAGCAACTAACCTGCACATCTTTGGACTGTGGGAGGAAACCAGAGCATCCGATGGAAAACCATGCAGATACAGGGAGAATGTGCAAACTCCACAGAGCCAGCCACCTGGAATCAGACACAGGTCGCTGGCACTGTGAGGCAGCAGTGCTAACCACTGAGCCACCATGGGGCAGACATGATGGCCTGAATGATATCATTTTGCAATGTAACAATTCTGTGATTTCAAGTGATGCAATTGTGGATCAAACAAGAAGTGGATCCATCTTAGTAAAGAGGAGAACTTATTTGCAGAATCCCATTAAAGAACCTGATGGATAGTTTTGAAGGGGAGGTTAGATGGACTTGCCTACCTTATATTGTTACTGAGAATTGTGTTACGTTGCTAGGAGTGCATATGTTTCCATCCGTGGCTGTTAATGTTGAATTGCAATTAGAATGTGAATGAAACTGAACACGTTGACAACTTTCTCTGCAAACCTTTTATTTTTGTTCATTTATCATTAAACAGCTGACCTTAATCCACCGACCAACATCACAATTGTGGATAGACAGCTTGGGGAAGTGACATTTTCTTGGAATGATGGCCTCAGTGAATTCATAAAGGCTCAGAGTCACGTCAGATATCTATTTGAGTATAAGTACTTTGATTCTCAAACTTGGCAAGAAGTAAGACATAGTTATTTTCTCTCTATGTTGAAATCTAATTCTAACTGCTGCAGTTTAATATGAACTTTTATTTGGGAAAAAAGAACAGATATGATTATGGATAATTTGCTTTCTGCACTTCCCAGAAATGCTCCAGTTTCCCTTTAAGAGATTAATGGTCAACAGTTATGAAGCTTCTGTAGATGTTACACTCAACTGGCATGGAAAAAAGATAAAACAGTTTAGTCTTTAATGTTTCTTGCCCTTTCTAGCAGCCCAACAAAACAATTGAGTTTGGAAATTTGGAAGCATGAAAGAATCCCTGCTATCTGGGTATTCTACACCCCAGCTATGACCACCCCAGGAATGATGCAGGCACAATGTCAATATGACCAAAGAGTCAGTCATAGTAACATGGTACATAGTGACATAACATATCCCACTGGTCAGCAATAAAGTTATAAGGATAATTCAAGTCCCTTTAACCTCAGTGATGGGGAAACATTTTGACATTAATATTTGGGACAAAATTAAATATTATTTTGGCAAACTCAGATTACTGAAGAAAACAAGTGCAAATTGGATAAGGACAGACCGTGTTTAACAAACCTGTTTGATTTATTTGAGGAGGTCACAGACAGGGCAGATGAGGGTAATGTTGATGATGTGGTATACATGGATATTTGATAATGGCAAACAGATTGCAGTTACAGGTACAAAAGCACCAGATGAAATGGAATGCGGAGAATGCGTGAAACGAAGGACGAGGGGAAATGAAGTGAAATAATGGATACAGTTCTGAAGAACAGAGGACCGTGGGATTATTCATGATCAAATTTATTGAAGATGACAGGACATGTTGAGACAGCAGATAATAACACCTATGTGATCATAGGGTTTCAGTTGCGGTTCGCAAAAACAAGGACATTATGATTTGATACAAAAACTAAAATCACATGGGATTCTGGGTGGGCTGGCTAGATGGATACAAAACTGGCTTGGTCACAGAAGACGGAGGGTAGAGGTGGGAGGGTGTTTTACAGAATGGAGACCGGTAACTAGTGGTGTTCCACAGGGATCAGTCTTAGGTCCTGTGTTGTCTGTAGTATATATAAATGATCTGGAGGAAAATGTGGGTGGTCTGTCAGTAAGTTTGCAGATGACACGAAGATTGATGGAGTTGTTGATAGCGCCGGTGATTGTGAAAGGATACAACAGGATGTAGATAGATTGGTGACTTGGGAACAGAAATGGCAGATAGAGTTAAATCCAGACAAATGCAAGGTGATGCATTTTAGAGGATCAAATTTCGGTGCGAATTATACTGTAAATGGCAGAACCGTTAGGAAAATTAACATACAGATGGATCTGGGTGTGCAGGTCCACAGTTCCTTAAAAGTGGCAACACAGGTGGCCAAAGTGATTAAGAAGGCTTATGGCATGCTTGCCTTCGTTGGCCAGGGCATGGAGTACAAGAGTTGGCAAGCAATATTGCAGCTATATAAAACCCTTGTTCGGCCATAGTTGGAGTATTGTGTGCAGTTTTGGTCACTACACTTGGAAGCTTGGAAGGACTTGGAAGCTTTGGAGAGAAAGCATAGAAAGTTCATCAGGATGTTGCCTGGTCTGGAGGGCATTGGCTATGAGGAAAGGTTAAAAAGACCAAGATTGTTTTCACTGGAAAGACAGCGGCTGAGAGGAGACCTGATAGAGATCTACAAAATTATGAGAGGCATAGATAGGGTGGATAGTCAGAGGCTTTTTCCCAGGGTTGAAGTTTCAATTCCAAGGGGGCACAGGTTCAAGATGAAAGGGGGAAAGTTTAAGGGAAATGTGCAAGGAAAGTTTTTCACGCAGAGAGTGGTAAGAGCCTGGAACACACTGCCAGAAAGTGTGGTAGAAGCAGACACGTTAGCAACATTTAAGAGGCATCTGGATGGTTACATGAATAGGGAAGGAATGGAACGATACAGGCCGAATAAAGGCAGAAGGTTTGTTCAAAAAAAACCCCCAAAAGAACTGTGGATGCTGTAAATCAGGAACAAAAACAGAAGTTGCTGGAAAAGCTCAGCAGGTCTGGCAGCATCTGGGAAGAAAAAAATCAGAGTTAACGCTTCGGGTCCGTGACCCTTCCACAGAACTGATTTGTTTTTAGTTTAGTTAGGGCATGATAATCAGCTCAGGCTCGGAGGGCCAAAGGACCTGTTCCTGTGCTGTACTTCTCTTTTCTCTCTTTCGATAAACCTCTGTACATCCAGAACAAAAACAGCACCTGGTTTGTTGAATGGATTCCCAATAACTTTAAGCCAGTTGTTCGTGACATTTCGCCTCAAGATGTCTGCAGCTTTTATTTGCAACAGTACAGCTATCCAAGACCTGTTTAATCACATCTGTGAGTGGTTTACTGCCATGTTCTGGCACAAAGCCTTCGTGTATTGGTACACTGAAATAGATGGAGTTTACTAAGGCTGAGAGTAACATGAATGGCCTAGTTTCTAAGTACCAAGCAAGATCAGGATACTACAATTGGAGATGAAGGTGAATTTGAGAAGGAGGGTGAGAAAAAGGCTGCATAAATAAATTGCATATTATGAACTTCTAAACACGTTTTCTTTATTGCATTTAGACCTGTTTCTGAGGTTTGTCTTGCTTCCTGTTCTGTGATTTTATATTTTCTGATTTTTTTTAATGGCTAGTTTAACAAAAATGCTTGATAGTAATTTGAAAACAAAACAAAGGTTCATTCACGACAACAAGGTGCAGGGCTGGATGAACACAGCAGGCCAAGCAGCATCATAGGAGCAGAGAGGCTGACGTTTCGGGCCTAGACCCATCATCAGAAAAGGGGGAGGGGAAGGGGGTTTTGAAATAAATAGGGAGAGAGTGGGAGGCGGATAGAAGAGGGATAGAGGAGAGGATAGGTGGAGAGGAAACAAACAGGTCGAAGAGGCGGGGATGGAGCCAGTAAAGGTGAGTGTAGGCAGGGAGTTAGGAAGGGGATAGGTCAGTCCAGGGAGGACGGACAGGTCAAGGGGGCGGGATGAGGTTGGTCGGTAGGAGATGGAGGTGCGGCTTGAGGTGGGAGGAGGGGATAGGTGGGAGGAAGAACAGGTTAGGCTCGCCTTCTTATCCATTGGGAGGAGCCGAGAAAATTCTTCCTGAACAGGAACAGGAGTTTCTGGTCCCCAGAAGAGAACTACAATAAAAAGGAAGAAGTAAAATTTGGCCCTGAATTACCTGGGAGCAATACACAGGATGTTTATCAGATAATTTTTGAACATATTGTACAACAGCGTAATGGCAGGCTTGTGCAATACGAGGCAGATCAACTGGCCTGAAATTTTTCTCTTTATTTTTTCATGTGATGTAGGTGTCACTGGCATTTTCTTCCAAAATTCTATAGACTCTGGAGCAGTTCCTATAGATTGGAAGTTGACAAATGTAACCCCACTGTTTCAAAAGGTGGGAGTTGGGAGTAGAAAAAACATAATGACAGAGCAGTTAACCTAACATTAGTACTGGGGAAACAGTTTGAATACATTATAAAAGTTTTGCTAACAGAGCACTTGGAGAGTGTTAACAGGATTGGACAAAGCCAGCATTATTTTATGAAAGACAAATCATGCTTAACAAATCAACTGGAGATTTCTGAGATTGTAATTAATGGAACTGATGAAGGAGAGCCAGTGGATGCAGTGTATTTGGATTTTCAGAAGGCTTTTGATAAGGTTCTTCATAAGGGGTTAATGGGCAAGGTTAAAGCACATGGGATAGGGGTAAGATATTGATACATTGGCATGGATCAAGAACTGCATGACAGATGGGTAACAGAGGGTGGAAATATATGGTACTTTTTCCAGGTGGCAGACATTGACCAGTGACATACCAGAAGGATCAGGGCTTGGGTCCGAGCAATTCATGATATATTAAAAACTGGATGTGATTGTGAGTTATGATGAGGACAAGGTAGATTTTAA